ACCGCATCACTGATGCAGGCCCTGTGACGCAGGTGCTTGCCTTCTTGCGTTTTCTGTTGCTATAGCTGAATGCCACAGGCTGTATTTTATAGAGCATGAGGGTTGATTCGAGTCACAGCTCTGAGGACTGGGAAGCTCAGTCAGGTAGCTGTGTCTGATGAAGCTTTTCTTGCTAGGAGAATGCTGCTGACTCCTGAGGTGGTTCAGGACCTCACAGGACTACAGCATAGTTCAGGTCCTTGCTTGTAAACCCACAGCTCCATGGTGTTAATATCCCTCCCCCATGCACTCAGGTAGCTTTAGTTACTCCCCCAAATCCCCATCTCCAAACACAATAGTCTGATCAGGCTTCCACTTTTTTTCCCCCCTGTGTAGCCCTGGCTATCCTGAAACTCTCTCTGTGGACCAGGATGGCCTTGAACTCCTGCCTCTGCCTCCATGTACCACCACTGACCAGCCCCTTCCACCCTCTTAATGCTTCTTCCTAGAGATGAACTCCAACTTGACTTTTTGTGTGGGGACATTCAAACTGTAAACAATGATTTATTTAGTCCCTATAAATGATGAGGAGACTGCTCAGACAGGTTCAGTCACTTGCCCGAGGCCACACAGCCTTTGAGAAGAAGAAATGCTGATGGTTGATCAAGCTCTCAACTGGTCTCAGGTCCCCCCTTGTGCTCCCATGGCATCATGAGGGACCCAAGTTGTGTGGTAACTACAGGCCTTCATCCACAGTTTCCTCCACAGGATACTCCACTGCCCAGAGCAATCAGTGGCTTGGCACTGGTTTGTTGTTGGAGAGTTCTCAGATACTTCTGTACGTTGAACTCTAGACAGAGCCTGTACCTGCCTTGAAGGAGAACCAGTATGCTCTGTGCCTCATGGACGGAGGTCCCACTCAGTGACAGTAACAGCTATCTGAGTGACAGCTATCTGGACACAAGTTTACCTCCCTTCCCTTCTGAGGCCATACAGAATCCTTCTTGTTAATAAGAAATAAAAATCTACGATTTAAGGTGTCCCTTTGAGAGGTATCCAGAGTATGAATCAGTAGAAAGAGGCAAGGGGTCCCAAGGTGGGGCAGAGTCTTCTTTGCTGGGTGAACTCACAAGGAAAGGTGTTTTGTGGTGTGACGTTTGACCTCAGGCCTGTTGGCTTTACCTCTGGAAGCCCCAACAAAAGCTAGAACCAGGCACTTTGGATTCCTGCTCTCTGAAAGCCTGCTCTAGAGGAGGATTTTGTACCTGTGGACAGTCAGTTTCCTCTGCTGTGGCAGCAGCCAACTGGAAGGTCTCCCTGGCCTCACCCCTCCAACTGCAGCCTTGACTGGATCCTAGTGCCTGCTAACAAGAGCCCTCCATCCTGACCCTCACTTACCCTGCAGCTGCCTCTGCTTGTCACAGGCCCTGCCATCCCACAGTGCACTGAATGACCCCAGCTCCAGCTTGGCCCAGAGTCCCTGTCTCCCTTGTTGGAGATCCAATCAGCCTTAAGACTGGTCTCAGTGGCCCCTCAGAGGACTCCAAAGGTTCCCAGGACTCTAAGCCAAACATACCTCGCTTCTCCAAGCTGCTGCTTTAGGTTCCAGCAAAGAACAGGTACTCCTCAGTGTGAGGATGGTGGTGAGGAGGTTGGAGCCCCAGGCCTACCCCAGAGGAAAGGCATCCCCCAGAGCTGGGAGTCAGGATCTGTAACAGTGGCACTCAACCTGTGGGTCTCAACCCCACAGGGATCACATATCAGACACTTACACTGTGATTCAAAGTTACAGTTATGGAGTAGCAATGAAATAATTTTATGGTTGAGGTCACCACAAGCTGGGAGCTGTATGAAGAGGTCACAGCACTAGGAAGGCTGAGCACTGCTGGGCTACAGCGTTTGGTCTTCTCTGCCCTTTGACAAATGAGGAAACAGCCCGTGTTGCAAAACAATGTCTTAAAGACGAGAGTCCAGGGCCGGGAGGTAGGAACGTGGCCTTGGAGTGACGCTCTGGCCTGAGGGAGAGCATTTCACCACTGAAGTGCAGTTTTATTAATCCTGTGAGCATCCCAGGGTGGCTGGGAAGGTTCAGTTTGATTCTGGGTGCCCAGGAGGACTTGGGGACTTGTGGAGGAGCACATCGCCATGGCTGGCATGTGCTGAGCCTTCTTTGAACCTCTACAAGCACCGCATAAGCTTTGCAATTGCCCCGACTTACAAAGATGGAAACTGAGGCACAAAGGAATTGAGTGGCCCATTGGGAATTCCAGAATTTTGAAGAGGCAGGCTTGGGATTTGAACCCAAGAAGCCTGGCCCCACATCTTTGCCAAATGACCAAGGATTGTGGCACCTGCCTGGTCAATCTGCTGTCCCCCAACCAGCTTTGTTATTGTATGGATCAGATCTGTGGATAGCTTCCTTCATAGTGAGATCCTGGCTTCTCTACTCTGTACACAATGCTAGCTTACTATATAGCACTTGAAATAGTCAGACATCATTGCAGAGTCCCCAACAGGTGGCCGGACAGCCTCTAGGTCAGCCTCAAGTCCCTGAGATGCCCAGGATCCCTTTACCAAGTGCATACTACTCTAAAGGGCACAGCACAGGATAAGGACTCAGGTACTCACCTCACCATGACTCTGAGCGCACCAGGTGGGGTCCAGGTAGGTGTTTCCTGGGCCTGAGGTTGTGGTGTATAATGAAACAGAAATTAATTTAAATCTTAGCTCACAGAAGATTCCAAAGCATATTCCTAGCTGTGGGAGCTAATAATGGTAGCCATTATCCAAGTAAGAGGTTTACTCAGTCCACTCCGTAACGTGCCCCTGGCTGACCTACAGGTCTCATTCATTCATTCATTCATTCATTCATTCATTCACTCACTCACTCACTCGCTCACTTAACAATTAGTCAGCCATGCATGCTTAGATGGATGCTAAGCCTGGTGCTGAGGCTTGGGATCAAGACATAAACAGACAAAACTCTGTCCCCAAGGAGTTTGCAGCCTCGTGGAAGAGACAGATAATTAACAAGATGAACATGATGAACAAGACAGGTTGGAAAGTGATAAGCTCTGTGGAATAAACGGTAGCAGGACAGAAGGATGAGCTGGTCAGGGGAAGCATCCCAGGGAGGGCCTCTCCTGGATCAAGCCCAGGAAGCGGGGAGGAGAGAGCCTTGGGGACTCTGCGCCATGGGGAGGCCAAACAGGATGCTTGCCGGGCAGGGCAGAGACCTGCTGAAACAGACACTCCCGTGCTGTGGGGGCTCCACCCACGGCACAGCCAATGGGATACTCGAGGACGATGCAGGAGACTGTGTGCCAGAGGAGGGACAGGGAAGGATGCCTTCTGGAAGCCATGCACCTGGAAGAGTGTGTTGGTGCTGACTGAGACTCTCCTTCTAGTTTCTAGAATCTAGAGGAATTGAAAGCTGCCTGTGAGTCTTCACAGACCTCTAGGGGTCTATGCCAACTCACTCCAGCTGAGTGGCCCCAAGATACGCCCTGTTGGGGATGAAGCTCAGAGAGGCTTCCTGGAAGAGGTGGCCTGGCAGTAGATACAATGGTGCTAATCAGAGATAGGGTGGGCATGGCGCCCTCAGGATGTGCCTCTGGCAGGGCAGTTTATGGGTGTGAGAGCCTTGGCAAGAGTGCTTTCCTCCCAACCTGCTTCTCAAAGAGGAGGAGGAGGAAGAGGAGAAAGAAAGAGGGAGGGGAGGGAGGGGAGGAGGCAGCAGAGGCTCTGTAGCACTGATGGGTCTGCTGGGGCTGAGTTGTGCGGCCCAGCCCTGTCACCACTCTCTCCCTCTGTATGCGGGAACCTGGCACCCTGACCGCTGAGGCATAAAAAACAGAGAATTGGAAGGCTCAGTCTGTCAGGCATGGAGTGGCCCCCAGAGAGGCCTGAGCAGGAGCACGTGTGTGTGCGTGTGTGTGTGTGTGTGTGTGTGTGAGTGTGTGGTGTGTGCATGCTCTGCCTGTGCTTGCCTATGAGGTGGGAGGAGAACCGGTCTCTTCCAAAGCCTCTTGCCCTTTGGCCTTTGTACATTCCCTTTAGGGGATCATGGAGTCATGCTTGGCCGCAAGTAGTCCCTCAGGACCGTGTAAACTCCTGTCACCTCCAGCAGGGCAGGACCTTACCTGGAGGCTTAAGAAAACCATTCAGTGTTCTGGCTTTCCATGCCCTGCTCCAAAGCCTCCTCTACTAGATAGACAAACCAGGCTCTTGAGCACTCAGTGCAGAGGATAGAGAACACAGTCTGCCCTCTGGGACCCCAGCTATATGAAGAAGAAAGAAAGAAAGAAAGAAATGAGCAGAGTCTGCTGCTACAAGCATGTAAGGACAGGACTTGAAGCTGGCTTCACTGGCAGAAGACTCCCTTGGGGCTGCTGTGAACCCAGAGAATAGCCAGGGGTGAGGGCTCAGCTCTGCCGGCTGTGGATCTGACTGAACTGTCCTCTGGGCTCACCCTACCCTCCCTTTATCCTGTACACTTGCCTGAGCGTGCCCACCGCCATGAACAACTACCTCCTCCCCAGTGTCTAGAAGACTGCCCCCCTCTTCCTCTAGCCTGTCCCTTACTGTCAGCAGACACATGGGATAGCCCTGTGTCTCATGCCCAGTCACTCTGAATTCACAGCACAGAGGGTCCACACTTAGAGATGAGGTCATGAGGAATGGAATCAACTCACTAGGGTCCCTTAGGAGCCTCAGCCGGTGCCAACAGCCCAGCAGGCTAGGATTGGAATTATGCAGGTGTGCCCAGAGAGACCCCACCCTGCACGTGATGGCTCCATGGCTTCCATACCCATCGATACCAAGGGCTTTGGGGTGAAGTAGACAGCTCACTGGACGAGAGTATAACCCCGATATGCTGTTGTTGGTTACCAAAAGTACCTGAAACTCATGGAAGAGACAAGTGTCATCAATAGCGAGCAGTTAAACAGACTTGAACCCACTGCCTTTTCTGAACCTGGTTTAACACTTGTCTTCTGTTTCTCTCTGCCCACCTCCTGCAGGGAGTGAATTTTCTGGGAGTCCCTACAGCCACCCTCAGTATTCCTCCTACAACGATTCGTGGAGGTTCCCCAACCCAGGGCTGCTTGGTGAGTACTCCTCCCTGGCCACAGTCCCTTCTGAGGTCTGGCCATATCTTTCCTCATGACATGCATAGAGTACAGGTCCTGTTCTGGTGGTCTTAGTACAGTTAATGCCACTGCAGCTCACGGAGGTGGGAATGTGAGGCAGAGAAGAAGATAAGAAAAGTACTAGCTCATGAGTTACTCCTATTTCTTAAGAACCATTAAAGAGAGTGAAATTTCCCTAAATAAGAGGCACTGAAAATACAAACTTGCATTGATTGGTGTTGGCTGCTGAGAAAACTGTCTTGCTAAGGGCTCTGAGGCCCAGTGATTGATTAATGATGTCTGCGATGGGCATCATTGGTGCCAGCTCCATTAGGAGCCAGCTGCCCTGTGGCTTGCCAAGGCATGCTGTGTAGGGCTCAGCTGGTGCCTAACCTCTATCCAAGACTCAAATTGGCAGAATGTTCATGGCCATAGCCAGCCTGGTCTGTGAATATCATTGGTATATGTTCACACACACACACACACACACACACACACACACACACACACACACACCAATAGCCTAACTGTCCTCCAAGGTTCAAGAAGAGCCCTTTGTTTGGTTGACCTAAATCTAAATGAAGCCAGCTGATGAGTGCCCACCAAAGTTAAACTTAAAGCAGAGGACCTGGGTGTAGATGTCACCACTTAGCATGTAGAACCAGCCAATCAGCTTGCAGGTTACAATACTGACCTTGCCCCTACAGTCAGCCAACGATGAGAACATTTTTGGACCAGTGAAGTGAAAGTAGGGGAGTCTTTGAGACAGCCTATCTATCCACATTAATAAGTGAGAGGCCGCTAATTCCTTGAAACCTTAATCATTTTAGGACCAAGAACCATAGACTTTGTCAGAAAAGCAGTAACCCGGAGACTTCACATTCAAGTTCCCAAACCTTGATCCCTTCCTCAATCTGGTTTGAATAAGACAGACTCACGGTGTGGATACCACATCTCTCTTACTACCACGAGAGCCACGCATGGGATATACTCTTGGTACCCTGGGCTACCCCAAGTATTCTGGTGTGTCACGCACAGCAGTAGATGTAAAAGGGAATACTGTCGATTGGTGTTTCACGTCCCAGCGTGATGGAGAGTCCCAGCCTGCCTTACAGAAGACACTGAAGCTCTGCTTTCCCAGGGTACTTAAATCTGTGGGTTGGTGTCTCTCCTTTGACTGGTCAAAATCATTTTAAACACTGAGCAAAGTTTTTGCCTGCTGTTCCCCCCACATGGACTCTGAGTTGGCCTAGCTGTCTGTCTCAGTCAGGAAGACATGAGAGTGACCATGTCTCCCTGCAGGTGTAGCAAAGAGACCATAGTCTGAGACTCAAACCCAGGAGTCCTCCCTAAGTCCCTCCAACTGAGCCCTGGTCCTAGTACTACAGGGAGACCCAAAGGGAGTGTGGCTCAAAGTTGGTCTTGGGCCACACTGACCCGGGGCTTCTACACGTGACATCATGGCCTAGGCCACACAAGAAATGGCAGAAATCCAGCCGATGGGTGGCACAAAGTCCTGCCAAGGGGACTTCCCATGTGTGCTTTTCACAAGGCATCCCAGAGATTCAGAGTGATGCTCACTTCTGGGGCTTAGGGTACACTGCAGTGATGACAAAACCGCACAGTTGTGGCACAGGAGCCGAGGTGCTTGTGGAGTATACACAGATGAGGGACTTTGAACCAGGCTGAGAAGTTTGAAACCAATCTCAGGGCAGTGACATGTCCAAAGGGATGGGGGCAGAGAGCTGAGGCTTTTCTGCTCAAGTCTGAGTAAAAGCCAGTTCACTGCTCATAATGTCGGGCTTTGCCCTGTGAGCTCACAGGCTGGGGGTAAGGAAGCATCAACCAGAGGTACCTGTGCTAAGTCCTGAGGGCTTTCAGAAGGACTAGAGAAAGGGTAGGGAGGAGGATGCCAACTCAGAACTCTGATTATTTAAGTGAGCATTTATTAACTGTACTAGGCACTGAGGAAATGTGTCACATAGGCTGTCTCATTTTATCCTTTCAGAAGCCCTATAGAAGCCATCCCTGTGTCTCAGAGAGACAGAGAAGTGAGGGCAGATTCATTCACCCCAGGTCACACATGAGCAAATGTCACACGAGGTGTCACCTCAACCCCAGAGACTGTATCCTTAGGCTGTATGTGACAGGATTCTCTAGACCTTCCAAACTAATTCAGTCTGAATAGCTACAGCTGGGAGGGGATCTTGTGCCTCTGTAGAAACAGGTGAGAGTCGCACGGCACTCAAACCTTGTATGTGACGAGGACAGCCAGCTGGTTTTGAAAACTGGGTTAATGACTTATAACTGCAAACAACAGAATCCACTCTGGCTAGTTTAAGCAGAAACATATTTAGTAAAGGACATCAAGGGTTTCCAGAATCTTCAGGCAAACTCAGTAGATGGGCATGGGACACAGAGCCAGGAGAACACCCATTTGGACTGCTGGCTGCTCTGCTGTAAGCATTCCCCACCCCACCCCCCACTGCTGCCAGCTGGCACCCACCAATTATGCCATGATGTGGCTTTCCCTCCGTGCTTGGTAGCATCGGAGGATGTTCCCTCCCACCATTCAGCCATGGAGGTCTTTGACACCTGTTCCTACTGAATGGAGTCCACGGCCCATTTCTTTAAGTTGCATCCTTCCCAACCAGTGTCCAACGCAAGAGACTCTAATGGGCAGTTCCCTGATAAAACACCCGAGCCCCAGCAGCAAGGGAAGCTGGGAAGATAAGTCACATGACACAGGAAAAGTGCCAGCACAAGAGGAATAGTCATCATGTAGGGTAGCTCCAAACATGAGAAATACCTGAGTCTATAACCTGGCTCCATCAGGCCATTCACCAGCCCATCTATACCTTAGTTGGTTCCGGGGTAAAAGGAGGATGGTTACCATGGTAGCCTCTTACACAGGCACTGAATGTGAAGCTCTTGAGGCACAGGCTCTGAGTCCTTAGGGATCCCGCTTGCATGTTGATGAAGACACATGACTCACCTGCCCACAGCGTTGCAAATAGCTCCCTCCTGCTGCCATCACACCAGCCCTGCCACAGACTTCTCAGTGATTTGGACAAACAAATCTCACTGGTTCAGACTACAAAGACCCAGTCTGAAGATTTCTCTGATTTGGGGTGGAGGAGGGCAGGAATGTGGTGACCTGTCCTGTGTGTCCTTAGGTTCTGGTGAGCCCCTGAAGACAAGTGTCCACAGCACACTCCTCCTGCTCAGACATAGCCTGGCACTGGTCCTCAGAGACCCCTGCTGTCCCAGGCTCCTTTACCAACACAATCAACACTGGCAGTGCCATCCTCAACACCTCATCCTGTAGGGTCCCTCAGGCTGGTGAGGAGGTGGCAGAGGCAGGCAGAGCTGGCAGGGCTGGCAACAGAAAAGCCAGCCGTGGTCAATTTGGATTAGAACAGGGGCGCCTGTGGCCTCTGTAAAGAGATTAGAGAGGGAGGCAGCCCTGAGCCAGCCTGGAATGACTGTGTCAAGAGGAAAATTGATGATAATGTGAATTAGGGAGGAAAAATGACAGAAGGAAGGACAAGTTTATTCTATACAAAGGTCTAATGGGCACGGAAGACAGAGCACTTGGCGAGGTGATGTTTTCATTTTCTGTGGTAAATCAAACCCTCGGCCAAGGCTGCCACCCGGGGTGGCTAAGCCCTGAGGGGTGATCTTGAATGGAGCCTTGAGAGGGAGCCGGAACCTCACCACAGGAAGCCTCTGGATCCTCTCTGTCCACTTCCTGCCCCTGTGGACCCTCTGTGAAGGCGGCCACTATGGTTTTCATAGTCTTGTGCAGTCTCCAGACCTGTCGGAAATAAGCCCCGGCCCCACTCCATTGCTCTCCCATCCCACAGTGGAAAGAACAGAGGCTGGCAGATGCCTCTGAGTCAGGGCTGGAGTGGGGAAGTGACCTTGAAGGCAGCAGGAGATTGTCTTTGGGAATTCTTGGGTATAGAGTGCTTGCCTGGGCCGTCTATATCTGAACAGCAAGGAGAGGTCCCATGCTATCCCTGCCTGAGTCAGGGGCAGGAGTGGATCAGCCAGTGAGCTCCAGAGTAGAAGAATCTAGATGCTAAAGTGTCCTCCTACCCCACCGCTTATTAGACATGGGTTTGGCCAAGCATCCTCATCCATAAAACAGGAACAATGATAGTTCCTACCTGATAAAAGTGAATGGATGTAAGTCCTCAGATGGAAGTGACCACTTCCACAGTGACCTCATGTCTGCCCCACTGAGACCCCCTTTTAAAGACAAAAACAACTGAGTCCTGGGAAGTAAAGTCACTTGCCTTTCACCAAGGCATGGTCAGGACTGTGAAGAAAACCCCACAGCTCAGCCCTTAGTTAGGATATCTGGGAGAGCCATCATGGCTGGCTTAGATTTGAGTGGCACTCTAGAACAAATCCAAGCTGACCCCTCTGGGAAGTAAGCTCACCAGGCCCACCCCAACAAGACTGGCTGATAGGGCCTGAACTCCAGTCTGCTGCAATGAGCCTGTCCTCCAGCGGCCGAACGGAGGTGGATGAGCCCTCACCAAGGGCACACATCCTGGGACCAGGGCCAGGCTCTGGCCCTGAGGGGCTTTGGGACCGGAGCAGGTTTTTATTTTGCTGAACACCTATCTCCTCACTGTGAAAGATTTGAAGCTCTAACCTCTGCGATTCTGAGAATCCAACCAGACCCCCAATTCCTACCCATCCCTAGCTCCCCAAGTCCCTAGGGAAGAGTTTTAGTATAGACTGAGCTTCTGGTAACTACTGCAGATACGTGCCCAAAAAGCAGATAGAGGCCAGAGGCATGAGAGGAACCCAGGGACCACTCCATCCTGTGGTCACAGGAAGAGCCCTTATCTCCCCCCGCACAAACACACACACACACACACACACACGCACACACACACACACACACACACACCACTGTTCCATGTCCATGCCCCAGCCCAGAACAATTGCACTTTCAGTGGTCACCAGAGCTTTACTGAAAGCCCAGATTTCTAGAGCACAGATTCCTTTTAATATTTTTTGTTTCCAAGACAAGATCTCATTATGTAGGCTGGCCTCCTGGCAGTCTTGTTGTCTCTGGCTCCCCAGCCCTGGATTTTACATGTGAGCCAACATGCCTGGAACAGTTTCCCCTTAGCTGGAAACTGGGAGCAAATGGCAAGAAGGCCAGAGGCCAGCCCTGCCTGTTTAGGATTCTCTGCCCTGGGATAGGGGACGCTCTCAAAGGAGAGAAACTCAACCTGTGAAGGGAAGTGAGCTCGTAGGAGAGGGTTCCCAGAGTAGGAAGGCAGGGCCCTGGGACTTGAAGGAGGCCTAGACAGGAAAAGGGATGTGAGCAAAGGCCAGGAACTCCAGGAAGGAGTCACTGGCCCTGCCCCCTACATTTGAATGAAGCAACTCCCACGTAGAGATGATGGTGTCAGGTAGAAATGTTGGGTGGAGTGTGGAGTACTGCTGGAGTAATGTCAGTATGGCCAGTGTGGCCAGTGAGCTCAGCGGGGCTAGCCAAGGCTTGACCACAGAGTACTTATCAATCAGATGAAAATTTTACTCTTGTAGGAAAGGCCTCAAATGGTTTCCACAAGACCAGATGCTGACTACTTTGGGCTTTGAGGTCCACAGGGGCAACTACTCACTTCTTCTCAATTACACAGAAGCAGACAGAAGCCACTCAAAAGGAAGTGTAGACCACATGTGGCAGCCAGGACAGAATCCTGTCTTCAGTCTGTGTGTGGCTCTAGGCAGGCCTGATCAGACTTGAGGGAAAAGATCAGGATAGAGGTTTGAGGGAGAGTGGACAGTGCCCGAAAGGACAGAGGAGACAGAGGTTGGGGGACTGGTGGGCAGGAGACCCCTGGTTTGACCTCAGTGCTCTCTTGTCTCTTCTAGGCTCCCCATACTATTACAGTGCTGCAGCCCGAGGAGCTGCCCCGCCGGCCGCAGCCACTGCCTATGACCGCCACTGACCCTCCGAGCCATGTGGGCGCCCAGCACTTACAACCCGTTATCATCGATGGAGACAGCCTCCCATCCCCCAAGACAGGCAGAGGGGCCCAACGACTCCGTCTCCCATCCCCCATCCCACACTCACTTGAGACGTCCTTCCTCCCCTTTGTCCTGCCTGGGATCCAGGTTGGATTTCTCCATCCTTGTCCATTTCCAGAGTCACTTGATGAGCTTCTCCAGGTGGTGACAGGATCTCCGCCGTCCTGAAGACCATTGCAGCCAAGCCCGGCCTTCCAGTCCCCCTGACTATCTGACCATCTCTGTGTTTCAGCCACAGCAGGCCTGGAAAGGAGAGCTAGCTTTTATTGCTTCACAGCACCCATGTAAATACCGTCTTGCTTCTCTGTGGGCCTGAGAGTCTGACAGAGCAGATTAGCCAACCCACAGTGCAGCCCAGGACATCTCCCACTTGTACAGCCCTCTGCCCTGGTGCCCTGGCAGGTATCTCAGAGCTGTCTTTGAAACTGGCAGTGCCTATCTTGAGGCTGCCTGGCCTCAGGCTCACTCAACTTCTCTGCTGTCTAGACCACTAGACATGGCTCACTGGTGGTCATGGTGCAAATCTCCTTTGAGGTTCCCCCCAAGAGGAACATGCTTCGGGGAGACAGCTTGGCTTCTTGTCTCCATTTCCACAGAGCCACCACAGGATCGAGAGTCTTTTTCTTGATCAAGGGACTCCAAGAGAACTGTCCGGGACATTCTTCAGCTGCCGTTCTAAAAGTACAAGGTTATCCAAATGCTGAGTCATTGTGGCTCTGAATGGCTGTCTGGATCAAAAGATCATGTGATCTAGGCCAGGGGTCGTCCTGGCCCCCAGAACCACCAAACTGAATATGTTTTCTGAGGCATGTCCAGGCTCAGGTCACTTTGGACATCAGCCGTGGATACTTCACCCAACAACTGTCCTTTGGGACCCCAACTACTGGATTCTGGGCAAGCCTGTCCCAGCCACAGAGACAGTGTCTAACAGAAAGGACTTATCCCTGCATCGAGGACCAGCATATCCTGCAGGCGGCAGCTAGGACGTGAACTCCCTCTCACCCAGCCCTGCCCAGTTTGAGGAGCACAGTGTGTGGCTGGGAACAGTGACAGGTGCCTGATTCACACCATGCAGGTCACTCTGCTGCTACAGGGGGTGGAGATGGAGCTCGCTGTGGGAAAGACAGGGGAATGTGTGGGTGACAGAGGAAGGGTGAGGGGAGGGACAGACCAAGCAATGAGGAACTGGTGAGTGACTTGGGGTTGAGTTTGAGTCTGGAGTGCCCGGTGACACAATTTCTTCATCTGAAACCTCTATGCCTGCCAACTCTGAATAGCAGAGAAGAACCCTGGTCTTTCTCAACTGAGGCTGAATTATAATAATGAGGAAGAACTTGACCATTTCACATGACAGTGTCACCAGAGCCTGCTGTAGTGTACTGTGGGGCCTCAGACCCTTTACCTCTCTGAGGCTCTGCTAGGCTGACAGTAGGCTTAGATCATGATTTTCCTTCCTCCCTTCCTCCCAGAGAACAGAGGTGGTGACTGTCACCTAGGTCATCCCTCACTTTTGAACAAGTTTGTGAGGTCTTGCTAGTGTTCCAATCAAGTGTAAAACAAGAATGGGAAACAGGGGGTCTTCAAAAAGACATAGTTTTGTCCCTGAGGGGAACTGAGGCCCAGCTTATGGAAGCCCGGAACCAGAGAGGGAGGCCAAGCAGACCTCCTTCCCATGTATTTTGTGCCTCAAGATTCCCAGCAGGGGAATGGGACAAAAGAAATTAAGGCTCAGAATAGTGGAGGCTCTAAGTAGTGACTAGGTTGGGACTTGGGCCTCTGACTTGTGACATGTGATGGTCTCTGTCACCTCTATCTTCCCATCTCTTGTACCTGGAAGAGAAGGTGGCAGAGAAGATGGCAGAGGTACTACTTGTCCAAGGACTTCAGAATAGGCTTCCAAACCAGTACAACTGCCAGGGTTCCGCAGTCACCATGCCAGAGGCAGGGCACATGAGCAGGCTGGGTACCTGGGGAACTTGCAAAGCAAAGTAGCTACAGCCCCAGGCCACCTGAAGGAGCTGAGTGACCCACCTCCAGCCTCCACTTGTCAGCTAAGGTAGGAGAAGGCTCCGCCCTCATTCCTCCTTCCCTGTCCCCACCATCCCTCTCTTACAGTGATGTTCACCCTGTGCTTCTTGCAGTTTTAAGCTGTTGGAAAGAGGGCAGCCTCCCTGAACCGGCTGCTCAGTTCTGCACACTTTCCTCAGCAGGGCCCACTCTGCCCCACAGTGGCTCCCTCCCCAGTGATCTAGCCCCTAGAAGGAGCTCCATCTTCCCTCTCTCACCTGAGGTGCTGCTGGTCCTCAGATTGGAGACTATTTATTAGACAACCCAATGGCTCCTGGGATGCCAGGTAAGAAAAGCACAAGAGCCCAGAGTCGCATGGCTGCTCACACACAAGCTGTTCTTGCCAGCTCTGGAGATGCAGGGGCACGTGGGCGGTCTCAGGCTTGCACACCTGCTCTCTCCAGCCCTCACCCCCACACCACAGATGCACAAAGCCAGAGAACAGAGTCAGGGGCTTTAGCAGCTCCATGGCAGAAGGCCTGGGCATGCCTTCATGGGCCTTCACTCCTGTTTGAACTTTGTGAAAAAGATATTTTCATACTATTTGTCTAGCTCCAGCCTGAGATCTTGTGTCATATAGCAAACCAGCCAATCCTTTGCTAAGGCACCTTCTCAGAGACCGAGCCTTCCTGACCGACACTGTATAGCTCTTTGTAACACTCCACTCTCCCATGGGGCAAAGACCCTGACATTTGGGGCTCATTGTAAAGAAGAGAATGAAGTAAGTTCTCAAATCTCTGAGCCACATTCTTTGCCCACAGAGTTGAGTGCCCATCACAGAGTATATGGCTTGTAGACACTCACCCCTCAGTCCTCCAGAAATTCCCAGATATACAACAAGGAAAACAGAGCCCAGAAACTGGACCAGTAACAGGAAGGGTCTGGAGACCAGCAGCCTTGCTGGTTCCATTAACACTGAAACTTTCAGTCTTTACATGAATTCATGGAATACTTAGTGTTTGTGTAGAGCCTTTCCCTGCTGCACCCTGAGGCTCACAGGACAGTGTGTCCACGCCCATGCCACAGTCCCTGGAAGGGACTGGACATGAGATTCTCTGGCTCTCAGAGGATAAGGCAACAGTTCCACAGGCCACCCCCCTTTCTCTCTTCTCTGCCCTTTTTTACTTTGGAATAAACTATGACAAGATGCAAGGAGAGCCTGGGCTAGAACCTTGGCTATCCACAGGCCAGAAAACAGAAGACAGCAATATCTGAGGCCAGGTCGCTGATTCAAGCCATACTTTGGGCAGGGTACAGAGCAGCAGGGTACGGTATGGCCCCAGGTATCAAGAGTGTGATTGGCCTATGAACTGGAACCTCGATAGTGAAAACTTTTAAAACACTCTGTTGGCCAAGAGAAAAGGCTGTCTATAGGCTGACTCCGCCCATCACAGCCCTGTCAAAGCCTCCATCCTTCTTCTCTCTCTTTCACGAACACTTGGAGAAGATGGCAGGGAGGCGAGAGGTGTGTGAGCTGCTTGGGCTTTGGAGGTGGCAGTGGGTGAAACAACGGGTGTGGTGGGTATGGAAGGAGCAGTTGGTTTTCTATGGATAGAGCTCCAGATGTGGCCACAGGGCATTGAAGGGTGAAATCCCTTTATGAGGAGTCAGGCTCCAGAGTAGCTGCCCTGCCTTTGGCAGCCTGAGCTCTTTGTAGGTGACATTTCAGCTAGAATTTAACTCCAAGCCATGGGGAGCAAATCTTAAAAACAAACCAAGCACTCCCAAACAAATACGAGGAGCAAGTGACGTCTGACACAGTCTCTCGGGAGTCCCCTGCACAGGCCAGGCTAGGGTAGGTCAACCCCATAGGTCTCCGAGCAAGACCAGCTCCGTGGTGGTCCTAGCCTTGTCACCGTCTGGAGTCTGCCTCTGATGGTTTCCAGGCACACACTGGTGCACCTGGGTAAATTTATTCCTTCAGTGCTTCAGCTTCCAAGAGGTCCGAGGCACGTGCAGTTCTCAAAAGGAAACAAAATACAGGACTGGAGACTTGGAGAGTCAGGTCACGACTCCTCAGACTCCTCACCTGCAGTCTGTCCTACCTCCCAATAGCCCCTTCAGCCCCTTGGCCCTTGTTGCCCCTGGTCCTCAAGATCCCATTTTGCATATTCATGACGGAGCCACAGAGTTGATGCACACTTCCCTGCTGTCAGCTCAGGCTGTTCCTGCAGTGGAGCTGGGTCCCCAAGAGCCAGCTGCAGAGCACATAGTGAGTCCCTTTCACGGGTACTGTCCTGATGCATCTCCATCCTCTACAGACTGAGCTGCATGCTGGGAGCAACAGGCACCCATCTTTCTCCCTGTCTTTGGGAATTCCTCAGCACCTAGGCCCGGTTCCTGGACACTTCCAGGACCGACAGAGAGCTGATCACTGCCAGTCACGGGTTTCAATCCAGAGGTTCCTCTTGGTACATCAGCCACCTGGTGATACCTCTAGAGTCTTCTGCCCACACCATAGACTCCTGAGCAGCATCAGGCTGCTGTTCTTGTTCTCACTGTGGGAATGTCATGGCATCTTGGTGGCATCTTGACGGATCCAGCTCAGCCCGGATAGCAGAGAGGAAGGCAGCATGAAGGATTAGGGACTTGGCAGCGCTGTGCTTCTCACTGACTCTAAGGCCTGACTTCAGGAGCCTAACCTGTCGTCTCACCTGCCCCACCTGGGTTCGCTCACCTGCTAGGGCTGCCGTACATGGGCGTTTAGTCCCCCAAACCACCATGCAGATGGTACACCCCTCCAAAAGCACCACTAAGAACATGTCACGATAGGTTTTTGATTTATAAATGGTACATTTCCCTTAGAGTGGAACAGAAAGGAACCTGTTTAACGACTCCCTCATTTGTAAGCACGAATACATTTTAATGAAACTATTTAATTGTATTTGAGGAAATGGAGAGTTGAACATGCCAACCAATCAATAACCAATTAATTGCTATAAACATAAAAAGAAAATAAATCCCAAGTCTATTTTAAACATCTTGCAAGACTCAGAGCCTCAGAGTCAGGCCTTCCTCTCCATGCCATGTGCACAGGTGCATGGAAAAGGGAGCACACACACAAACATACACACACACGCACACACACTCCTACACTCACACACAGTCCCCCACACACACTCGCACACATCCACACACTGTTATACTCATGTATAGTCACACACACTTATACAGTCACACACTCACACACACTTATATATATGCTTACACACACTTATACACAGTCATATACACACTTATACACTCAGTCACACACACTTATACACACTTTTACACACTCACACAGTCACACACTCCCACACATATCATACACACAGTCATACATGCTTACATACACTTATACACACTCATAGTCACACACTTCCCTGGCAGTCACATACACTCACACACTTATACACACACTCTGATACTAGGACATGAAACTCAGAACTGCTGAGTCTGCCGATACCAGCTCTTGCTGGCTTTCCTTGCCTTTAGTCACAGAAGGTGAGCAGACACAGCAGCAGCTTGTCCTGGTGGGGCTCAGAAAGGAACAGAGCTGGCCCCCAGCCCCAAGCCACCAGCACAGTGTGGGTAGTGGGCAATGAGGTCTGATGTTGCCAGCATGCTTCTTCTCTGCCTGGCTGCAGGGTCACCCCCACAGTGGTCAGGGGGTGGAATTTTGACCTGGAGTGTGGCCCTGGCTCCTGCGGGACAATGCTGCCCTGGTTTGTCACCCTCTAGTGGCCTTCAGACATTGAGTATTTGTAGAAATTCAAATTACATTCCAAGGGAACTCCGCCAGGAAGACATGTGGGGTTTGCTCTTCATTTTTAGATGGTTAACCTTGTCCTAGGGACAGGCCTTTCCAGCATCAAAGAAATACATATACATATCTACTGACCTACTGTATCCGCCAAAGTTTGTGATGCCTGCATAGACGCTTATTAAAAAACAAAAAACAAAAAAAACCAACAAAAAATAAATAAAACCACACAATTAAATTGCCTTTGAAAGTGGGAGACAGTCTGTCTCCAACAGATTGAGAAACAAAAAGCTTCTTAAAAGTATGTATGTTTTATATTCTTTTTTTTTTCCTAGTAGAACTGACTTGAAATATTGGTGGCTTTTTTTCCTTAGTGATGTGTGTTGCTTTTGTGTGTGATAATATTTGAATGTAATTACAGCAGTGCCAATTTGCCAAAGATGTTGGACTATTTTTTTTTGTTGGGAGAAGGGAAGGGACTGAGGGTGGGACTTGGGAGGGACTGGGATGGGAAACTGGTTTAATTTTTTTTTAACTTTTTTTTCTTGTCAAATCTGGGATTTGTGGATTTATTTTAAGTTAAATGGTTGACTGCAACACCTTTGTTTTAAATTAGCTGGAGACACATGCAATAAGGTTGGCGTAGTTTCAATATCTGTGTATTTTCATGAGTGACTGTTTCTTGTGAAGAATTGATTTTATGTAACCTTTATGTGAGATAATTATTTGTAAATATTTGCCATAATTTTATTGGTTTCTAAAATAAAAGTAATTTTTTTAAGTTCAGAAAAGGAATTTGATCTTACTTGTTTTTACTGATTCATACACGGTCTTTGACAACCTTGACCAAGCCACCTGGGGTGGCAGAAAACTTGATGGCTCTTGGTCAAACTGTGGTCAGAAACGAATTTAGACGTTCATTTATAGGACTGTGCATGTGACACAAAGGGCCTCTGACTCGGAGGGGACTCCAGCCCAGTTAGTTGGGTGAATAATGGCTGATACTCCCCACCACAAAGACACACACACACACATATATATATACATATATCTCACACTCATACACATACACTCACATGCATTCACACATATTTACACACTGACACTCATACACATACACTCACACACATTCACACATATTTACACACTGACACTCATATACATACACTCACATGCATTCACACATATTTACACACTGACACTCATACACACACTCATACACATACACTCACACACATTCACATATATTTACACACTGACACTCATACACACACTCATACACATATACTCACACACATTCACACATATTTACACACTCACACACACTCATACATATTTACACATTCACACTCACACATACACTGACACACACTATGTCACTCAGCATGGGAACCTTCACTAAACTTTAAAAAGTTTATTCATTTATTCACTTTACATCGGAATATCAACCCCTTTTCCTCCCAGTACCCCTCATACAGATCCTCCCCCCACTCCCTGTTCCCACTCTCCTCTAAGAAGGGGGATCCCCCTGGGTATTAACCACCCTAACACATCAAGTCACTGCAGGACTGGGTGCATCCACTCTGACTGAGGCCAGACCAGGCAGCCTGGTTAAGGAATGGGATCCACAGGCAGACATCAGAGTCAGGGACAGCCCCCACATCAGTTGTTGAGGGACCCCCATGAAGACCAAGCTGCACATCTGCTACATATGTGCAGGGGGCCTACATCCAGCCCATGCTTGCTCTTTAGTTGGTGGTTCAGTCTCTGGGAGCCCCCAAGTGTCCAGGTCAGTTGACTATGTTGGTCTTCCTGCCCTCTTCAGGTCTCTCAGTCCTTCCCCCAACTCTTCCACAAGACTCCAGGAGCTCCATCTAATGTTTGGCTGTAGGTATCTGCATCTGTCTGAGCCAGCTGCTGAGTGGAGTCTCAGAAGACAGTTATGCTAGGCTCCTGTCTGAAAGCATAACAGCATATCATTAATAGTGTTAGAGATTGGTTCTTGCCTATGAGACGGGTCTCAAGTTGGGCCAGTCATTGGTTGGCCATTCC